AGGCTTGGAGAATGGCTAATAACTGCTGTGTTTGTATGTGAGTAGTTTGCATATTGGTATTTCTTTGTGCTTTGTGTGGGCTGTGTTGTATGGATACCCAGCCCTGTTATTTTGTTTTTACTGTTGTATGATGCATCTGTATAGATGTGTGTATGTTCCGGCCAGTTGTCGTGGATATAATTAAGTGATATTATTCCCTTTTCTATGTTTGTAAGTTTGTTATGCTTGTTGTATATTTTTGCTAGAGATGTGTCTGTTTCGGGGGGGGGGGGGGGGGGGGGGGAGGTCAAGAATATATGAGTTGTCTGGGGGTGAGTGAGTTATATGTTCTAGATAGTGTGTTTTAATGAGATTTTGCAAGTGTGTTATGAAGGGTGCTATGTTTGTCTTGTTTTTAAACTTTTTTAGGGTAGCTGGTCTTGAGTTTTTGTATTTATGGAGTATTTCGTTGTAAATGGGGTTTTGTTGTGACCCAGCCCAGTAACTAAGTATAGATTGATGTCGTTTAAGTTGAATTGATGTAATGCCTGTGATGATTTGGAGTGTATTAAGGGAGGTGCCATTTCTAGTCCCCAGGGCTATCTTGAGGGCCTTATATTGTAATGAATTGAGCTTTTTTTCCAGTTTATCTGTTAAAGAGTGGAGAACCGGAGCGGCATAATCTATTTTTGCTTGAATAAGAGTTTTGTATATGTTTAATAATGTTTGTTTGTCAGCTCCCCAGTGAGAGCCGCTGATGGCTCTCATTAGATTAATATCTTTTTGGCAGGAGTTGACCACGTTATTGATGTGGGGAGCCCATGTAAGATGTTGGTCAAATGTGACTCCTAGGAATTTTGCTTCTTTTTGGAATTTTATATTTTCTTTAAGAAGTGTAAGTTTGGGTGTTAAATTTGGCATAAAGGGTTTTTTGAAGACAATGCCGATGTTTTTTTTGGTGTTAATTTTGAACCCCCATTGGGAAGCCCAGTTTTCTAGTTTCGAAAGAGTTGGTTTGATTCTATTTTCAATTTGTTTTATGGATGTTGATGACGACCAAAATGATATATCATCACCGAATTTTGCTGTGGTGGTATTTTTTGGGGTAGATGGGAATATGTCGTCAATCATTAGATTAAATAGGGTGGGGGACAGGATACTTCCATGGGGGGGTGCCATTTTCAAGAGTGTGAGGGTCTGATAGGGTGTTGCTTGACTTTACTGTTATGTTTCTGTTATTTAAGAAAGAATGAATGAAATTTAGAATTCTGCCATCAATTGCTTTATTTGTTAATTTATGAATTAGGCCTTGTTGCCAAACCATATCAAATGCTTTAGAAAAATCTATAAAAATGGCCACAGTGTATTGTTTTTGTGCTTGAGCTGTCCTGACATCATGTTCCAAATTTAAAATATGATCTAGGGTCTGTCTGTTTGCTGTAAAGCCACTCTGGTCCTCTTTTATAAGGCTATTGTTTTGTATTTTATACTTTAGTCTGTTGTTTATTACTGTTTCCATGATTTTACATAGGTGAGATGTGAGAGAGATAGGGCGATAGGAATCAGGGTCATTTGGGGATTTCCCTGGTTTTAGAATTGGCACCACTAGAGCATTTTTCCATGTTTTGAGGAGGTGGCCAGAAGTCCAAATCTGATTGTAAAGTTGAAGTATTAATTTTTGAATTTTGATGGGGACATGATTTAGAATTTTGTAACTTATGTTGTCTAATCCAGTGGCTGGGGCTGTGTTTTTGCTTTTTAAAGCGTTTTGGAGTTCGTGGATGTTGATGAGTTTATTTATGGCAAGGTGTGCGAGTGGTGATCTGTTTTGAAATGCAGGTTGAGTGTTTATAGTGTCTTGTATGTGTTTGGCGGAGCTGCTTACGGTCGAAAGATGGGTGGCCATGGCATTAGCCTTTTCTTTGTCTGTTTTAAGTAGGGGAAAGTTGGGCGAGTTGAAAGATTTTGCAATGCCTTTTATTGCTTTAAGTTTATTCCACAGAATTTTTGAATTTTGTTTGCCCATCCTCAAGGTTGATGTAAAAGTACTAGTTTGCCAATGGTTTCTTTTTGTTGCCATGATTAGTTCTTTGGTAAGATTTCTTTGTTTATGGGCCAAATGGAGTTTAGTTCGATCATGTTTAGCCTTATTGAGAGCTTTTTTCCTAAGTTTTCTAGATTGAATAATTTCAGGGCTCCACCATGGTACTGTATTATGTGTGGGTTTTATTTTGGTTGTAGGAATGCATTTAGTGGATATGTTGTATAGAGTATTGCTGAGGTTTGTGTTGAAGGTGTCGATGTCAGTACTATGTATGCTGTGTGTGTCTATTTGGTTGCATAATGTGACGAACTCCTGCCAGTCAGCTTTAGTAAAGTTGAATTTAGTTTGTTTAGGGGAGTCAGAAGTGGGATTGGGATTGTCGGGCAGGATATTTATAGAAATTTTTATGGGGAAATGATCACTTCCCCAGGTGTCATTGTGGGGGTCCCATGTGAGTTTTTGGAAAAGTTGGGGGGTGGTAATGGATAGGTCCACTGCAGTGGGAGATTGTAGATGGCTGGTAGGGAATCTTGTGGCTCTATTGTCGTTTAAGCTTATGAGATTTTTGGTGTCTAACCATTCTATTATATATTTTCCAAATCTATCTTGATAATTTTTAGTGCCCCACAGTGGGTGGTGTGCATTAAAGTCTCCTAGAATGAGGGTATTTGGGCCTATGAATTTGGAAAGAGTTTCTAAATCTTCAGGGTTAAACGGTTTGGTTTTGGTGTGGTAGCAGTTAATTACAGTTATTTTAGTGTCATTAATAGTGATGTTAGCCGCCAGGACTTCTAGATTAGGAGTGGGGATGGATAATTCTGTGAACTGAATATATAGTATTTTTGATAAACAGGCCTAGTCCTCCATGGGGGGGGGGGGGGGGGGGCTGGTTTATTGGGTGGTCTGGCTCTATCTTGTCGAATGAAAGTGTAGCCTGGCAATTTGAAGGCTTTTTTGGGAGATAGTTTTGTTTCTTGTACTGCTATTACATATGGGGCAATTTTGTTTAGGGCGATGAGGGCCTTAAGTTCATGCCCATTAGTATTGAGACCATTACAATTCCACTGTAAAAACACCATGTTCTGTTTTGTAGATTTGTGGGGATGTTTAGGCCAAATGCATGGTGCTATGGGGCTTATTTGGAAGAGGGGTTTGGGATTAATTTAGCTTATTATTTGAGAGCTTTTATGGCAGTTTGGAAGTGGTGATATGGTTTTTGGTATAGGTTAGACACCAAGGCTATGTTGTGGATTTTTTTGGGGGTGGGATTGATAAGGAGAACTGCTGACAGGAATTCTATGATCTTGTTTGTGTTGGAGTGAAGTTTTTGTGGGGTGATTGGTTTGGGTGTAGTTGACCTGAGTGATTGTATTTTCTGGGCGAGTAGTGGTTTTCTAGATAAATGTGCTTTGGCTTTGTGAGTTTTGGACTGGATTTGTAGTTGGGTGGCTAGATCTGAAGAGTGTGTGAATGGGGGTTTGGATGGGTTGGGAGGTGGGTTGGGGGGGAGGTAGGATAGACGGGGGGAGGGGGGTATGGTTGGGTTGGGATGTGGGTTGGGGGGGAGGTAGGATGGACGGGGGGAGGGGGGTATGGTTGGGTTGAGTTGTCTGTGTGGGGTGGGACAGTGTTTACTGTGTGGGTGGGTGGGATGGTGTTTATTGGGTGGAGGAGGGTCTGGTGGGTTGGGGCTGGAGTGGAAAAGAGTTGTTTACGTTTGGACTGGGTGGGTCGGGTCTGGGTGGGGGGAATAGGGGCAGGTAGTGATGTGGAGGATGATGTGTCTGATAGATCTTCATAGTCTGGAAGGCTATTGTATGTTTGTAATATTCTGGCCGGTTTGGGTAGGTGTTCCTGTTTGATGTGTTTGTTGAGCCGGAGGATGTGTTGTTGTTTGAGTGGGTAAGTATTTTGTGTGGCTGTATGACCTTCGGCTTCACACTGTATACAGTAGTCCGCCCATGTGCACTCTGGGGTTTCATGTCTGAGGGACACACAAGAAGACATACTAGAGTACATCCAAACAGCAAACCAACTCCACACACAACCCCAAATCACAGATTGCAAGAGCATCAATAACAGAACACCCATACCAGGCAGAACCACAACACAAACTATTTTCCTTACTTTCAAGAGCACCACACTACCCACACACATAATCTTCGGAGCACTCTGATACAAAATTAATCCAATAAGGAAAACCCCACCACAATGCAACATATGCCACTCCTACAACCATACTACAGCCACTTGCCGACAACCGCCCATGTGCCAGAAATGTGGATGAGTGCGTGTACCATACCATACAATTACCTCCAGCGTTAATCTACGTTGAGAATTGTTTCGTTGACTGTCGACAATAGACAATAACCACATATGTGAGCGTTGTTTCAGTTGATGCGCATGTGCATGTGCATGTTAATTTCTTCATCAACCAAGAAGCTCACACATTACAGAAATAACATCTATCACAGGAATTAAAGAAGACGCTATTCTACGAATTCGTACTTATCACGGCTTCCTCATTTAAACTAATCTTAAAAGCAAACCGACAACAAGCCTATTTGTACGCGCGCGTTCGTCATATTCAACCGGTAACGTTTAATCTTTTTGAAGACGAGAATCCTTCTTAATCGCCTGTAAGCCAAACTTCAAATGATCTGATTGACTGGACTCAATCAACACCGGTCGACTCGAGCAGAATATAAAAGATGTGAGTGTATCTCACGACTCAAAATCACTCGTTCCTCCAACGTCCCCGTTATCAAAGATGGCTAAAGCATACTCCGACCACTCGATCAGAACGATTCTTGGTTTGCAGAAAGGTGAGTATTCACGGATAGTAAATTGAGTAAAATAGTCCTCAGTTCATTGATTTTCATCACGTTCAATTCATTGCATCACTTGATTTTAACATTGTTATAAATCGTGAAACATATGGGTACAACAAACTATATACCTATTCATTCAGAGTTACCACGACGATCCAGTTCTGCAAGATGCCGGACGGTCCCAGAAAGACGACGCACTTTGTACAGCCAACTTGCGCTTGATAAGATGGAGGCGATCTTTGAAAAGAATCCATACCCAGACCTAGACATCCGAGAGATTCTTTCACAAGAGTTCGGTGTCCCCGAGTCGAAAATACAGGTGCGTACGGATGCTTTAATTTGTACTTGTTTAGACCAAATAAGGAGAGAACATGCATAACTCAATTCAGTTTATTTACACTGAAGAAGATTTTGTTGTTTTAACACTGAATAAAGCTAACGTTTATTGCTTTGATATCTCTAGGTGTGGTTCCAGAATCGTCGTACTCGCCGGGGACGTACCAAGTCGCGACGTGGACCCTATACCACCAAGCAGACGATCAGTAAACATCCATACACCCATGTCATCCAGCCTCTCTCCTTCCCCAACACCCTACCCTGGTTCCACGCTCCGTCCGCCATGCTGCCGAGTCTGATACCCCGGTGTTCCCCATCAGCTGACTACTGGATCCCGTCCCGCACCAGTGACCACCACCCGAACGGACAGCAACAAGACAAACTGAGAGAACTGTTGATAGGAGAGTTAAGGACATACGAGAGCACAGCATCTGATGACGATCCCCACCAAACATCAGATATTTGTTGACCTCACGAGTTACATTAGGACCAGCGTCTTGATAGTGCTATCCGTCGCAGAGAGAACCCTTTTTATGTTAGTGCTACAAACTCAATGTTCAAAAAAGCGTTTTATGGTGCATATAATAGGACCTCTACTCCCGAGAAAGTTGTCTGTGTTTTGCTTGATAAGCTGATTTAAGGGGGCGCAGCTCAAAGGTTATTTAATCCTTGAATAAAGTGCCGTCATTCCATGCATATCCATATCGTTTGTTGTGATGTCCACATTGAGTAACTGTTGTCTCTTGGTTGACCATCAAGTGACCACACTAAACCTACCTGATGAAGACGCCACTGCCTAATAAACATACTGTCGTATTACATATCGCGCGATTTTCATTGGGCATTCTACTGTTCAACTGAGTTTCATACGAGTTTCAACTACATTCGACACACACTTGTAATCACAAGGCAAGGTTACAGTAATCTCACGTCAATAAATATTAATATGTTTTACTATTGCACGATTAGCAAATAGAGTGAGTTTAAAATTATAGTCACATCGGCAGTATTTAAGTCATATCGTGACTTTCAAAAGTTATACATAATAAATACATAAATGTCTGTCAACAATGGGCAGTAAATTAACTAGACTTATCACGGATTGATATAAAACTAGCATGGAACCATTTAAATAAACTTTGGTATGAATAAATGTAGTTTGTATGATGTGGTCTTATTTATCCACTCAGGGGAACAATAATGTTACACTACTTCAACCCCCTTTGAGGATACGGCCACTAACCATCTAAATTACAAATGATACATTACCGATTTATCATCACAATTTCAACATTGATATTAGCATTGATGATATTAGTAACACTATCTATGATTCAATCTCGAATATTTAACTAAACATGTTGTTTATGATTGTACCTGCTGTTCTGAGAAACATTATCGGAACTATAATCTTGATAATACATCTCCTGTAAATTCATTTATTAACTAACATACTCTACCACAGCATGGCTCCAGTATAACACATGAGGTAATAAACAATATGGAAAGTGTAATGATCATTATTCTCCCAATAGTCTCAATGTGTGTTCTCCCAATACTGTAAATAAACGAAAGTTTATTAGTCTCATTGTGTGTGGACTTAGGACATTGGAATATCCTAATTTACCCCTCTAACTGATAAAGCTGATATTATTGGTTTGCAAGAAACAAAAACAGATTCACTTGATGAACTTGACATTGAAGGTTATCAGCTATACTTACATCATAGAATCGGTTTCCAAAGGAAGACTGGTGGCATTGGTTAAGCTGTAAGAAATAAATACTCTGACTATATCTCTCTTGTTGAATACACTTGTGAAAATGTTTAATGGTCCTGTATATCCAAGTCATTATTTAATTTTGACATTGACCTGTATCTAGGAATACTTTACTACACCCAGAAGGTTCCAAATATGCTAAAGCTGACATGTATTTCCTTGTAGAACAATCCATTTTGCACATGCAAGCGGAGAGTGATTATATTTTACTTACATGTATGGGAGATTTAAACGCAAGGACGAGAACAGTGAAAGATTACTGCACTGTAGATAAACACATCATTGAAGAACCTAATATAGACATTAAAGAAATGAAAGTTATGTATGAACCTGATAATGTACTTCACTCCTCACCTTTACCAACTACAAGAAGTAATCAAGATCAAGGAAGAGTAGCTCAGGGTTTAAGTTAGTAAAATTATGTAAGAATACTAATATGTTTTCATGTAATGGCAGGCTAGATAAATACAAAGGTGTTGGTAAAGATACTTGTAAAGGTTCCAGTTTAGTTGATTATGTCTTCATGTATGTGCCTTCCATGTTTTAGTGAATTTGATATTTCTGATTTTTCCCATCTGTACTCAGATATTCATTGCCCAATTATGTTTTCACTCACTTTAAGTATTTGTAATACAACCATAGTGAGTACTGCAAGTAAGCAAAATACAATTTCAGACATCTCCCTAAAAGATTACGATGCAAAACCAAAACATTATGAAAAGGTTAAAGCAAATGCATTTGTAAATAATAGCAACACAGAAGCTGTCCCCCATTTATTGAAATCAACAAAAGGTCATGACGACCAAGCACGTTTGAGGAAAAGGCGTCCAATCCGCCCCAACCCGAAAAAAAGTAAAAATGGCAAACCCTGGTTTGAAATTGATAAAATGTATTATCGACAATGTTCATAAGAATATAAGAAGTGCCTTCGTGAAAAACGAAGCCTCAGGGGCTGACAAAATTGAAAATAACTACCTTATGGATTCGTTTGAAGTTTTAAAAAATCTATTCGTAGATTTTTTTAATTTGATATTATCTTCAGGAATATTACCTGAGGCATGACTCTCTGGATCTATACGTCTTATCTTCAAGAGGCAAATTGGCAAATCTGACCCTAACGCTTACAGACCTATTACAATACTTAGTTGTTTTGGAAAACTTTTCACCACTGTTCTCAATAATAGATTAAATAATTTCCTGGAGAAAAATAATGTTTTAACCCCATTGCAAGCCGGATTTAGAAAGGTTACTCTGCAAATGATAACGTCTTTGTATTGGATATGCTCATTCAAATTCTTAAACAAAGTAAGAAAAAAGTGTTCTGAAAAAATATTATTTAGACACAATTTATGGATAACAACTTCTTTATTATTTTAAAGACGACGTTTCGGTATATATCAATATACCGGTGTCGAGCAAGACTGAATGAGGAATCTTAGTAGGTGAAACATCCCACCCCATCAACACCAGAATCAAAGAGCACAAAACCTCAACTATCAAATCAGACAGTAAATCAGCCATCTCGGACCATATCAGCAACTGGCCTGATCACAACATCACCTGAGACAACAGAGATCAATCAACAGAGATCAAGGTTATTTCATCCCATCCGCCTACTATGAAGTCATTAAGCAATAATCACCACACTTATCCTGTTTAAATGGCTTCATGTCCCATTGGCTTCCACCTATGTGTTCTCTGTACAGTATTATCCTTCTGTTGTCATTATTTACTCATGTTATCCCACTCATGTATGCATTGTTGTTACTGTAAATCCTCTTCAGTGAATCCCCCACCTACTATATATATATATATATTGTGTACAATGATCCTCGCACCAATGTCCCCTAGAAAATGGCACTCCCCAGGGCAGTATCCTCAGCCCCACCCTCTTCAATATAATGATAAACGATCTATTCGAGGGCCTATCCCCTAAAGTAAACACATCAAAATTCGCGGATGATGGAGCCATCTGGATCCGCACTAAAAGCATGAAAATGGCCCAAAATTAACTCCAAAAATCTCTTAATAAAATACAACAATGGGCTGACAAATGGGGCTTCTCCCTTAACTCAGAAAAAACAACAGGAATAGTCTGTCTTACAGACCCTGATACAAATATATATCAAATGCAGCCCATGCAAGTCTATAATGTTTGGCAAGTCTAGATCACTGCAGTATCAGTATCTGAAAATGAAGAGAGTCACTGGGCTCCTTTTTATTATATTTTTATTAAGATAACTGAACAACTGTTTTTTTTATGTACGATATGTTCATTTCAGAGACTAGATTTTAGTCTACAACAGGAATAGTATTCAAACATAAAAACATGAAACCCGCCTCTCCAATCCTCCAGCTAAACAACCAAACAATCAAATTTCAAAAACAAACCAAATTCTTAGGACTTATTTTCGATGAACATCTCACCTGGGATGCTCACATCCAAAACCCTAACAACTAAATGCAGTAAAGACCTAAACACCCTAAGATGCCTAACTGGCTCTAACTGGGGAGCCTCCAAAGATACCCTCCTCTCTCTCTACATATCACTAATTAGATCAAAACTAGACTACGGATGCGCCATATACAACACCCTAAACAACTCTCTATCTAAAAAACTTGACTCAATACAATATCAGGCTCTCAAACTAATTACACGCACCCAACATGGCACCTCCTACACTTCACTTCAGGCCTTAACAGGAGAAATGCCACTAAGTCTACGCAGGGAACAGCTATGCTTAAATTTCTGGGCCGCGTCCCAATCAAACCCTCTCATCCAAAACATAATAAACCAAAACATCATCCCCAAAAACCAAGCTCTAGCTCGTAAACACCCCTTACTTACCCCAATATCCCAAAGAATAACAAACTACCTAAATGAACACCAAATTAAAAATCGTTAACAAAACTGTGAACAATCAAATATCTTCACCCCTAAACTTAAAATACCCAAAATAGACACAACACTAGCTAACCAAATAAATAAACAAACCGACCCAAACATAGCTAAAACCACCACCCTAGCATACATACACGAAAATTGGCCAAATTGGTGTCACATTTACACGGAGGGATCTTCAGATCCGACCTACAAACACACAGGTATCGGAGTCCTTCATACTCCCAAACAACCAATCAATATTCACGGCTGAACTAATGGGCATGGCCTCAGCCCTCCATAATCAAGAATCCGAAAACCACAAAAATATCCTAATACTTACCGACTCCCTAAGTGGACTACAAGCCCTCCAAAACAAAAATACCAAAAACCGACCTAAATTAATAAATCAAATACTTAGAAGCTCCAACGACCTAACAAAGGCAGGCAAACAAATAACCTTCTTGTGGATACCCGCCCACGTAGGAATATACGGTAATGAAAACGCCGATAAGGCAGCTAAACTATCCCTCAAAATCCCAGAAATAAGCTTAAACTTACCCATCTCAAAATCAGAAATTGAAAGCGTAAACAAGCAAAAAATCACCAAAAATGGCATAACCTATATCTAAACTCAAATAGCCAAATCAAAAAAGTACTCCGCAAACCACTAACCAAACAAAAATTCTCCATCCATCAAAAAAAATCGACAGAGTAATCACTAAACTCCAAACAGGACACACCAACCTAAATACCCACCTAAAAAAAATAAAAAAACATACTTCAGGTGACTACCCACACTGCAAACAACAAGAAACCCCAGAACACGCACTCATCCACTGCACACACTACCTAACACATCGAACCGCATTACAAACCACCCTCAATCTAAACAAGGCTCTAACTCTAGAAGCAATACTAAACCCACAAAATAAACTAGAAAACTTCAAGGCCTTAGGCGTATTCTTAATAAAAACGGAACTAATA